CTGCTATCAAGCAAGTTATTATTCTAAACTAACACCTAACTATCTTACCATTCACTTGAAACAGTACAAAGAACATTAGATTACAATATCCCAGGGCATATGATCATTTTAGTACTTCTCTTCTCTATATCAAATATAGTTTGCTACTCCATTTTTACTTCTCTGTCCGCCCAGCTGTATCCTACAGACCGTCTCCATAATCCGGAATTTCTCGGATTTATTGTGTCCTCGGGTATATTATGGCGATACGCGTCAGGCGTTTTATGGGCATTGCGAAAAGATCATTGGGGACTTACGCGACCATGATGGCATCTACTGTACCATGAAATTCTGCGAGGCAAGGACGAGAACGCTGCCCGTACTGTTATTGTTTCCTCGGTCGAAAGTATGAGATCGAGACACGGGCAACACGCCATTGACATTTGGCTAAGTGATTGTCGAAGTCGCGCGCTGGTACTACTGTAATCTCCCTAATGATGGCGTATCTGGGGATGACTTCCCTAGATTGTTGCTTAGCAAATTCGCAGTCGCATTATGGGACGAAGCACATTCTATGAAAAACCCCGATTCACTGAATAACGATCTGGTCTTTAAAATTAGATGCCGGCTTAATGTATTTGCGTCTGCGCGAATGGTTCCCAATTCTGCTACTCTACAGGTGTCACTGCTACTACATAAAACCTTAAACCCTACTAAACCACCCCTTTTGCCTACTTTAGAATAATATATATTTTATCCCCCCGGTTAGTAGTTTTCCCTATAACTAAAAGTACTGGTCAATAGCGACCTTATATAACTTTTCATTGAATACACTCTATTGAAAAGCAAAATTCGTTATATAAGGTTAATACTCGCGGGGTAGCTGTTCTTCTAGGCTAGTTTCCGGTCATTTTCGGTATAAAAAGTACACTTCGCGAACTTACTCAACTTCCTTACCTAATAACTTTATAACTTTAGATATGCTAAATAAACTAAGTAGATGAAACTAATCGGAATTATCCAGTTATTAATTATACATACGTATTTGAAATTTAGAGCATCTACCTTTTATAAACTAATATAATTAATATAATTATTATATTCTATTATAAATAAACTTAGTAGCGGATTTAGTAATAGGTTTAAGGGTTAGTAATAATCTATAGGCTTATAAAACTAATAATAATAATAATAATAACTATAACCTACCTTTATATTTACGCTGAATAAACTCCTAGATAATATTAATAAGCCTAGTACTCTTACTTAAGCTACTATAGTAGACCTAGCTCTCTTTTAACAAGTATTTAGAGCTATTATAACTAAGTATAAAAAGCTTAATAATAATAATAAGGCTTTAGAATTTATAAATAAGTTACTAACTAAATCCTATACTAAGGTAATCTATAATAAAAAAGAAGTAAAAGGAGAGATTAACGTTATTAAATAAAATAATACTAACTTACAATTATAAGTATAAAACCTTGAAGAATAACTCTAATAATAAGGTTATACTTAAGTAAATATATGTGACGGTTCTAACCGTCACCACCATTTGGATCACGTGGTCTCGCTTAGCGACCCACACCAAGTATTTAGATCGAAGCTCTCTCGAGCTCTCCTCTTCTCCTCAGCTTAGAATCTTTGTTTGATTGACAGTTCTACGATTCCACAACCTACACCGTGGGCCTTGCGTACGTGTCGTCACACCTTGCGTACGTGTCGTCACAATATACTACCTTCTACTCTACTAGCTCTCCCTATACTACCTATACTACTAGCTCTACTAGTATAACTACTCTTATAATAACTGTTACGGAGTTGGAGGAACTGGGGGCGGATCACGTGTAGCATGGCCCGTGCGTGCTACTGGACTCCTGTATTTAGGCTCTCGTTCCTCTGGAACTCTCTTCTTCTCTCACTTAGTTGTTCGTTCAATATAGCAGTTTCCGGTTTGAATCAGTATTCATCACAGCAAGCAGTGGTTCACTCCACACGGTCACAATAACTAACGTTTTACTCTCTAGTATACGTAGATTCTTTTAAATTTAGTAGAAAAGCTTATTCCGCTAGTAACCTTTATAGCTAGCTTATTAATATAATAATTAAGCTTACCTAGAACTAAGATTAGTAGCTTATAAAGAATAACTATATAAACTATATTTTAAGTACCTTAGAAGGTAAGGTATATGAGTATATTAACTCTTATATTAATAAACTTAGATAATATAGCTCTACTTTATAGTTTATTAACGCTATCTTCTACCTCTTTAGTAAGACCTTTAGTAACTTTTACTTATATAGTAATAGCTTTACTAAATTAATTAGGCTTTACTAGAACAATACTAAGACTAATAAATTACTCTCTTACTTTATATCCCTTTATATTACCTTAGACTTTTAAAGATATAAAGCTTATATACTTTTACTTAGTACTTTAGATTCGCGTATTCTTAAGCGCCTTCTATAAAACCCTTCTTATTATAAGAAGCTCGGCCTTCATAATTTAATTACTTTTATTAAAAATACTAACTATATCTACTAATAAGTTTTTAGTAACGCCTTCCTCTCTACTAAAAAGCTAGCTAGTATATTATCTATAAGTTAAGTAAAATTCTGTTAAACTACTAGTATATATTAATAATATTATTATAGTAGTAAAGTTAACTAGGGAGATTAATTAGTTCTATAGTAGGCTAAGCGTTTATTTTAATACTAAGACTCTAGAGAAGATTAGGAAGATACTTAGTACTAAGATTATAAGAAATTATAAGGCTTACTCTATTATAATTAATTAAGAATAATATTTAACTTAATATTAGGTTAAAAGTTATAAGAGAATCTTCTACTAATAATTCTAAAACTCTTACTCTAGCTTACTAAGTAAAGGATTTAGTACTATTAAGTATAAAGAATATCTCGTCTATTTATGTAATTCTAAAGTTTAACGCTAAGTTTATAAACTTATTCTAGGTCCTCTAAAAGATGCACTCGTATACTTATAAACTAGACCTCTTAGTTAAACTAAAAGCTATCTACCTAGTCTTCTATAGTAATTTATTATACCCCTCTATAAGTACCCTACTCCCTAGATAGTATAATCTACTAGCTATACTAGTAGTACTTAATAGTAGTAGCTAAGAGTTATAAGCTATTAATAAAATTCTAGACTCTAGGTACTACGATTATTAATTCGAGTATTTAGTTTAGTAGCGTAGTTATAATAAGGACTTATAGGAACCTTGTCAAGGGTTGCACCCGTGGAGTGAGTCTTGGAGTGCTCCAGCGACATGTGCACGTGACCTCTAAGCAGACTTGGTGGAACCTTCTAGAGTATTGGTAAAGGACACGTAGCCAGTTCTTGTGACGGAGCTGGATTTCATTTGACAGGATTTCATTCGCTTGGCCAAGCACGTGACGAGACTTGGCATTGGAACAACTTAAATAACTTCGCTCCTTTCAGATTCTCTTCTCTCTTTAGTTTTATTTCTTCGTACCTACGGTTTTAGTTCTAGCAATTGATTCAAAAGCTGTATACACTTTATCCTTTGTTGGCATCCGTGACAGTTCTGTGGTATATAGAGAGGGCTGGGAAGCTGCTTTGGGAAGGACAATCGAATCTTCTTGTACATAGACAACCTCTGTAGTTCAATTCATCAGCATTTGCTACAAGTCCTGACAAACCTCTTATAAACGTCTTTATAAGTTTTATATCTTATAGCCTATTCTATTACTCTTTCTCTAATAAGTTAAAGCCTATTTTAGAGAAGTTATAAGCTACTCGCGCTACTTCTAGGTAGTAAGTTTATTAGATAAGAGGGGGCCTTATATAAAGGTTCGATTTCGAGTTTTATAATAAATAGGTTTTATATATAATATACCTATAATAGGGGTATTCGTAAATACTTAAGTAGTTCAATCGTGGGAGTCTCTCCCTCTCTCCTTATAGATAATCTATTTAATATTCTACCCTAATACCCCCTTATTAAAAGAACCTACGCGTAAGTTTTAGCTAGCCCGCCCCCTCGTAGGTCTATACGAGTTATAGAAAGAGAGCCTATTCGTATTAAGTAACACTAATAGCTTAGTTAGTCTTTTATAGTAATTAAATAGTATTTTAACGTTCTTAGCGATAGCCTTATATTTCCCTTTTTAATATAAATAAGCTTTAAAAACAAGCGTTTTTAAACAATTATTACTTAAAGAGGGAATCGTAAACCTAAAAATCTAAACGTATATATACTACGTTAAAGGGATAGTACTATACCTGTTGGTACGACCTGGTTGTCGTAAAGGGTGATACACAAACATGATCTCTCTTTGTATTCATTCGTGTATGAAGAGTAAAGGTAAAGAGAGGTGGTACACTACAAGCTTAAGTATAAGAGTGGCAAGCCACTCACATGACCTAAAGCATATAGATCCACCAGGCTCTCGTACAAGGTGCTATTCACCAGAATTATATACCGACAATACCTTTATTAGAACAACTACTTAGAATGTGAGAAGATAACTAGAAATATGTTTAGCTAAATAATCTTGCTATTCGCGTAACCTTGTTAACTATTCTTACTTGTTGAATATAACTAGACTATTTTAATGCTAGAAGTAAAGTTATATCGCATGTAATGTTAGATTAATGAAAGATGTCTTTCTTGTTGCTCTAATTCAGTCCAACTCTATTTTATTGTTCTAGCTATTTTTAGTAACTACTTTGGCTGCTAGGTAACAGAAAAGGTATTTTTCTTTGATTATTTTCAATATTCGCGTAATTCTACTAGCAGCTTTCAATCATTTGAAATGGTTAGAAGACTTTGAAAATTTGAATCACATTCTGCTAACAACGAAATTTGATTGTTTCGCCTAGCGACTGACTAGCGTGAATTTGTGTTACGTTCAGCAAATTATATACCGAAGTTAATACGCGCTATCATCCCACAATAGCTACTTCTAGAAATTCTTCTCCGACTGCAACTCTATCTCCTCCACCACCACCACTATCATCACCAAACGACGACGAAATGTCGTCGTCCAAGCGAAAGCGGGCCGATCGCTCCCATGTCTCCCAGACGGAGGCAGAGTACAACGCTCTCAAGGACAAAGTCCTGGAGCAGGCAGCCGAGAACAAGCGGCTCGTCGATCAGGTGAACGGTTTGGTGGTAGAGAAGAGAGAGCTCACTGAGCATATCGTGGAGTGTGGCGCCTTGACAGGTAATATATCTGCTATCATCTTGGCCATCAGACTTTATTCTAACTCATGCGCACCGATTAGGCCTCAAACCAAGTATTCGCGCGATGGTGGCATCGCATCCTGATGCAGCGATACTCCTACACAAGGCTGTCAACAAAATCATGGATGATACCAACGAAAAGGCCCATGATACATACACTCTCAACCATTGTCTCCTCGTATTCGGAAAGTGTTTGGCGGGAAGCGAGGATCTTCTTAGTTTACCTGAGGGTAGCAGTCTCGCCTACAATTTTACTATCCGCTGGGCCGTTCGATTCTACGAAGAGGCTGAGAGTCGAGTATTCTGGCTTCAAAACCAAGACTTCCATGTTTCCGATACCAAAACTGTCAATTTGCTATCAAGAATCATGGAGAAATTGGACAAAGAGCAAGAGGGTTTTACGAATGCTGCAGGAAAGAGTTTGCTGGATCGACGAAATCTTATCATGACCAGTTTTCTCAAAGGGAAACAACCCATATCGAAGGATGTAGCGCCGGATAATGGTCTAAACAATCGGATCTCGTCTGGAGCATGTCGGCAGAATGGAATATTATACGTATCTCGCATGACAGCCACACCTGAAGCAGAGCCACCTGAGCCACCTGAGCCAGCAAACTATTCATCGCCACCGGTTAACACCAGATCTAGGGAATCCATTTCGTCTGCTTCAGTACATGGTCGCGCTGGTGCACCAGACCAAACAACCACGCCAAACATTCCCGATGATTCCCATGTTTCGGCCTCTGAAATTCAACTACCAGACATCGAAATTGGCCTGAGTCCCTCCATCGGACCTTTGGAACTTACCCGTCGAAGAATCATGTTCTACAGTCGTCTTGAAAAGGAAAATACAGCTGAGACTGAAGCTTATGGATTGAAAGTCTTTGCTGAAGCTCTTGAGAAGCCTTTGTTTGGTATATTCAAGGCAGAGTCATACGAACGGTTGAAAACCCTCATTGAGAGCCATGAGAATGGTCGCCTCGAAGTTGGAGGTGCATATAAAGATGGTGTTAAGACTGCAGAGATGCTATGTGGAGAAACCTCATTACCTCGTCCTGCTCGAAAGCTTTATAGCGCCACTGCCTCAATCTTACGCACCGTGGACGTCGGTAAGGGAAGGGGAAACAAAGGTTTCGACCCATATTCGACCTTGGCTAGAACAGTCGCAATGATTGATTATGTCCAGGAGATTGAGGCCTTTGAGGAAGATATGTTACTGGAGGACCCGGCCATAATCAAATACCTAGAAGAAAACAACCTGAAATTGGAAGGAAATCTGGTTAGCGTGATCATTTCCCTGTTCGCAAAGAATCTCGCGATTGAAAACGCCGTTTTTCGCCGGCTTCGAACCAAATGTCTGCCTCTTTGGATGTTGTCGCAGAAATTTGGGAGAGGGATCGTGGTCATTTTTGCGGTTGGCGGAAATCTAGCGTGAGTTACACTACCAATCCACCGTCACAGCCCTTGCTAACAGATGTCAGTTCTCATACCCACAAATGGACTACGGCAGAAACAGAAGAAGTTGCTGATACATTGATGAAAACGCTCCCGGAATTCAAAGAGATTTGCTCGCTCGCAGAATCTAATATCCTCACACCAATTGAAAAAGGACTCGATTTGATGCCGGTTCAAGAAAGCAATACCATTATTGGGCTTTTCTCAGGAAGACGGGAGGATCAAACAGGCATGCAACAGCACACAACAGCACCAGATGATGTTGATCAGTTGGAGTTTGATGGCGACTCAAGCGATAAGCCCAAGGTCGATCGCAAGCCCATTGCCAAGAAGAGAACAAAGTCGAAAGAGTCGAAACTTGAGGTCATGAACGATTACGCACCCTATGATATGGAGTCAGACTAACGGATTAGACAATTGTTACATTGGTTTTGCCCGCTGGTAGATTGTGGAATTATGATATTTGGTGAGGATCGGGGTGAGAATGGGACATTTGCCATCGCAACTTGATGAATTGTGTAATTAGTAATGAAGTCAATCGCGGCTTGTTGGGGCCTGTTGTGGCTGAGGCTTGCGAGCTACGCGTGGTAGTTAATGATGGCTCTGTTAAAAACGCGTAATATATGTGTGTAAAAATGTTGTCATGCTTTTGTGTGTATATTTGCAACAATCACGCTTGAGAATTTGTGTCAAAAGTGTGACAAAAACCCTTTTGTAATTGTCAATAATCCTCCTCTTTCAGGATAAACAAGAAGACTCTTCCAAATTTTGTGCATATTGTCGTCCAAGATCAGATTCTAATGACCTCGGGAAATATCTTTCTTGCTTGTTCGAGCCGTAAATGGTTGTTGGATACCAGTGTGGTTTCATATGAATTATGATAGCTTGGTATAACTTTGAGTAGTATGAAGGTCGAAGGAGAAAAAATGTCGAAGAAAAGGCTCGCAAAAGAAGCAGCTTCAGAGGGAGGTAGCTACATAACGCCTCGCGACTACATATTCCAATTGTCAAAGTTATTTAACGAATTATATAGTCACACTCTTTCATACTTTTCAGCAACCGTAGAAAATTTTACCTACTTTAAAAGATGTCCGCAGCCCAGGCTTCTGTATTCTCCATCTCACGTGCTACGGTCACGTGTGAACGAGTGGGGAAAGCTCCCTCGCTAAGGATAGCTAGGCTAGCGCCAAGGTTCGGCATTTGTAATTCCATTCCATTCCAAGACCCCCTCATAGAATATTCCGTTCTAAATAGTATAAGTGTTGTAATATCCCATGCTAAAGGGTAGAATATTTAGAATTCCAGTTAGAATCCCTCACGTAACCAGTAAAAAAGTAGTTCCGGTCCGAGCGACTAATAGGAAGCCTAGCTTTAGCCTTAGTACTATTATCTATACTATCAACACTACAATAATAATATCACGATGTCCCCCCTCTCCAAACATCTTACTATAACGTATAAAAGAGCCTTAAATACACGTATTTGCCCCTCCTACGGTACTCCTAGACTACCGGTACAGGTAGTACAAATACTATAATACTACTTACATTTACCTTAGTTATATATAGGAGATAATAATAATTAATTAGGCTTAGGTAAAAATTACAATTTTAGTACTTACTTTATAATAAATAGAGCTCTCTTATTAGTTAAAAAGTAATATATATAAGTTATATATCCTTTAGAATTCCAAATTCTATAGCCTTATCCTTTAGAATATTCTATTCTAAATTAAAGAGCCTTTAGAATATTCTACCTACGAGCTGCATTTAAGCAAGCTTTATACTGTTAAATAAAATACTTCTCTATGCTACTTCTTTCTTATAACTTTAGCTCTCTACCTAATCCTTCCTAGGAGTCCAGCTATTTATTAAGAAAGAGCTATTCCCCCTATCCTAATAACAAACAAAACCACTCACTAGACTTATCCCAAATTCCTTAATTACCACCAGAATCCCGCCGTTACACATTTTGGACCGCTTGAACTCGCATACATACCCCATAAAGCCTCTTATAAAAATACAGAAGTTCAAGGTTCACCACTTGAGTTTCATAATCCATCCACAGCAGGCGTCTCCACAAATCCGCTATCGTCGCTGAATGGGAGTGGCACGTCAATCTCTCCCTCATCAACTTTTCCCTCTCTGTTCTCCGGAAGAGAAAGGATTTCCTCTACCTGAGTAGTATTCGACATAATCCTTGTCTTAGCCGCAACTTTAGCAACACCAGCACTCGTGACCTACAAATCCCAATCAGCGAGTCAACTCAGCACATAAAATACAATTAACATACCACTCTTCCCCCAACAATGCCATTGCTTCTGGCTTCATGATAAGCACCCTCTCTCTGCTGAAGCAGAGCATCAACACGCTCCCTTGGTAAAGCTCGAGACTCGATCCCAAATTCCCTCTGCTGCACTATCGAGTCTCCATGTAACTTCGCCGACAACCGAAGTAGACTAGCGTCCATAACTTCGAACTCGTCAGTCTCTGAGAGGTGGAGGTAAAGTGTGCTACCCAAGGAAATCGCTATCGAGTAAGCGAGTTGTAATCCTAGTGGATGCATCGTAGAGAGTTCTTCTGTTTCGCTCAGGAGATGGCGGAGTGTTTTGATGAGGTGGTCGTAGTTAGCCTCACTAGATGACTGCAATTTCTCGATTGAAGTGTGCAAGAAGGCGTGGAGCTTGGCAGCCGCGTTTGGAAAGGTCTTCAAATGGTCTTTAGCAAGAGGTGGTAATCCTATTTTCTGGTCAGCTTGGGAAGAGACAATTAAAGAGCTGAAAACTTACCCGACGAATACCCATTTTCAAGGATATTCACACTAAGTTCTCTGATTAGAAGCTTCTGTCCCGCAACCTCATTCTCAAACTCCTCAACCCTTTCCCGATGAGCAGTACTCTGCTCCTCAAGACGCGCCCTCAAAGTGAGGATCTCGACGTAATCGTCTGAAATGAATGGGTTGTCGTTGAATAACTTCGTAGCAGATGGGTAAACCAGATTTTTTAACGTTTCAAACGAGTCTGATAGGTCTGCATGTTTTGTTTTTGCCGCTCCACATCTCTCTTCTCCGTTCTCCGTATTTCGGTCTTTTTTGCCCGTAGGAAAGCCTCGGTTGGCGAGTCGGGTGGCGCACTCCTTCTTTTCGAGGGAACTTGAGTTGATTGCATTCTGGCCGGTCTGTGAGAGGAGTGAATGGTCATCGATTCTTGGAACGCGTGAGGAATGCAATGGTTTTGGGGTTATAAGGTGACTTGAAATGGGGACGACGCGAGGATATGCACGTTCTCACATGAGTGTTGCCTGAACTCGACTCCGACTGCGAGGACGGGTAGGTACGGATGGCATGCTGTTATCAAGTTTGCTTAGTGGTAGGTGGTGGCTTATATGCCGGTAAATTCGATGTTTGTTATACATGCAAACAACGATATGCAGGGATCATGAAGTGAAGGCTTCTCCTAAGCGAAGGTTCCCAAAATGGAGGACCCCGCACTCACAGCCATTAAGTAATGCAAACATAGCCTTTACTTTTTAAGTACGATACGTTGATAGAGTGTATTGAATAAGAGAATGCAAGGATTCAATCATTTAAAAACAGCAAGTGCCAACATTTTTGACGCATTAAGTACAAAGTTTTGAACACACAATCTGCCCTTGTCTCCAGAAGACTCTCAAATCCGTCTTGGAACCAATAAGCTACCAAATATTTAGTGAAACGAAGCATCGTTTCAGTCCTTCTCCTGTGCTATTGTTGCATTGATAAGTTCATCCATCATGTTCATCTTCTGTCATGAAGCATCCATAAAGACTGTCCCCCTTGTCCAAACGGCATTTCAACTCCAGTCTTTCGTCCATGGCATCAAGGAAATTCCTTTCAGCAATTGAACATACTTCTTTCTTCTCAGGAAGTATGTGGTCTAAAAGATCGAAAATCTGATTGACAGATCCGCAACCATCGAACCAGTTCCTGATATGACTGTTAACAAGTCACATATAAAGAGTCCGATATTATCACACATACAGTTGGCTTTCGCGACCAGCAAACAGCAATGCTATCTCCGATCCAAACTCGCGCTGGAGATCTTGCATACAACCAGGAAACATTGTAAGTATAATATGGGCGGCATTTTGGTCGAGTGCCAGACTCCGCACAAACCTGTCGAAAGAATGCTTCCTGAAAATGTTTTCCTTAACCGTGATAGCTTTATATAATTGAAGGGCCTTTACTATCCCAATTGCTTCCAGACTCTCCGGGCAGGCATCCTCCTTTTTGGCATGCTCATTTGATCTTCGCTGCGAAATCGAGTTGATGGCGTGATACATTGACCATGCCAATGGTGGAATGGATGATCCTTTAAGGATTTTGTCAGCCGCTTTGATGGCGTTTTCTTGTGCTATCGATACTGCGTAAGCTTGAGCAATTGGTGTAAAGTGTGGCAAGATTTCATGTGTGAAGATGCCGAAGAAGAAATTTGTGATATCCACTGCCTGGTGCGTGGACAAGGGTTCAAACCGTCGACCCTCACCGCTGCAAAGTGATTCATAAAAGTTCAACCGTCGTGTTTCTAGTTCCTCAACAGTGACTTGATCGTTCAAACTCAATGTGATTTCCGAATTCCCTGATTCTGGGCACGACCGGAGTAGCTTCCTTTTGGACTCCGGTATATCTGCATAAGATTAGACTAATGTATGGAGTTTAACGGAGTGAGATGACTACCTTCCCGGGGAGCGTTTTCGAGGATATGTTTAAGCAGCTCCACAATCTCCGTTGTCTGAGTGAGTGACTGGGTCCTCAAACTATCGAACCGGTCTTGTTGTTCAACACTATCACGTCGCAGGTTGTTCATTGTATCCTCGAGAAAAGCGATTTCCACACTCTTGCCAGCGATATACTGGGCGGCTTGTTGCCTCTCCGTGTCAATGGCCGAATAATGCTTTAACGCTAGTTTTAGGAAGTCGGGAGCTTGAGTGCTCGATGATTCGTGTATGTGTGAAGATTGGCATTTGGAATCCTTTTTTTTTCGTAGACTTATCGGAAGATACATTCTCCTCCAAGTTCTGGAGGGCCTTTGTCGATGCTATCTTGGATGATGATGCGACACATTCTGCTTGCCGTTGCCGGGGCCGTTTCCTTGAATTCTCAGTGTCTTCGTGACTTTCTGGATCAAATGACGAGAGGGAGTGTTCTCGTTTGAAGGAAGCCATGACAGAAGAAGTCATTCGATCTAGCAAGAAAGCAGCACAGAAATAAGATGGAAATGTTGAATTGAGGAATTGTGGCAGCAAATAGAGGAATAAGAATGGTAGCAGAAACCCAGAGAACGTGCTGCATCAACGACAAGGATGGTAGCAAACAAAAGCTCGCGTCGATGGCTGAACGGGAAACTGCATATCAACAATTTATGCACTCGAATATTGACCAATCCACCATGGCTGCCTAAGATGCTCCCCCCCCAGCAACCCTACCTCAAAGATTAAGAAATGGTCTTCACGAGGCGAATTGCCTGATGGGATTGGGTGCCCAAGTCTGCCGTTCATATATCGTGGTTTCGAAACTGCAGCCATCGACCGCTTTGGGTGAGGTTTGTTTGCTTCGAAATCAAGCGCACATACAGCGCACCGGGTCTTTCGCCGAATGTGGCGGGGAAACTGCAAGGTTGCAGTCGAATTTTGACTAAGATGATTTTTCTCGAACATGGCTCCGGCTAGCCCAAAGAGGAACTGTCGAATTTTGAAGGCGTAGGAGGGTACGCGACCTCAAAGAAAGAGGTCGTAACTGCCATTTGGAAGGCTCGCTTAGGCGCTTAAATCAGCTGAGTGTAACACCCAAACCGCAGGGCAACATGGAAGCAACTGTCCTATTGCTTTCTTTTTTGTACATTAGTCTTGTACTACTCAAATTCGCTTTGTTTCTTATACGTTTCTTGGAATATGAACAGGTTCACATGAATCACCTGGGCAAGCTGGGATATTCTCATACGTGACTTTTGTCATTTCACTTGAGAAAAAGAAGTGAAGATTCAACAAAAATAACAGAACTCAACAACATAAACAGAAAGTAAACTAAAAACTATTGGATAAAAAGAAGAGCCAGGCGCCAAAAAGGAGGCCAAAAGTACATAATATCTGTCTTGAACAGGAGGGGATTCGAACCCCTGCAGGTTTCCCTACGAGAATACTCAGATCACAAGATCTGAAGAAGCCAGAAGGCTACTTGAGTCACGCGCCATAACCACTCGGCCACCTGTCCTACAAACGGCTGAAGCTGTTCTGATTCGATGCTTATCAATGGTGAGTTTGCTCTTATTTTGCGTCATCAAGATTTCACTTTATTTGTGTGTGTGTGTGGTAGGGTGGAGTCATCCCGGCCGATATTCGGGCCGGAGTCGCCGTTAGGCGCCCTGGGTTGAAGGAACCGGAGGGTAGGTTTGCGCGTTCGGAGCCAAGCTTCGAGAACAATATACTTGAAGTAAGGGTGAGAAAAAACATGCCAATTTACGGCAGAGGGTGCCCCACCTCATACAACACTTGTGTCCTGCAGGTGTTTTCCCAGAATCTCATGCCACAATCTCTACAGCGTAGATTCCACTTTTCGTGCTCGATTTAGACGATGTGGCCCCAAAATATCGCAAGATATCCGCTTTTACCTTGGCATAATATTAAGTGGATATCTTATATACTACGGGGCTACTCTAGTATATTATATAAATAGCCTTACTTTTAGCCCTTCGCGCTCCTCTCTATCTACTGGGGTCCTAATTTGAATTTAAGAGACTAGCCTCTTTTTCATAGGGTATGGTTATTAAAGAAATATTTATCCTAGTACTTATACTATTAATAAGTAGCGACTAATAAACGAAATATATATAATAGTACTAGGAGCGTAAAGATAAAGGATATTAGTTCTAAAGTAGATAAAAAGTAATCCTTATAGAGTAGTAGAGTTTTGTCATTTTATAATTATATCTAGAACTACCTATCTAGTATATAGCGTACGTTCTCGAGGGATATTAAAGACGATATTTTAGTCCAAGTAAAACATCATTTTTTCGGATGTCTTTTAGTAGGAGAATATTATGCGATATTATTTTGTGGATACTTGTACCGCTTAACACCCTGACCAGGACCCTACTAGGTAAACATATTACGGGGCGATATCCTTGGCTGTTCCTCGAAAGTGGATTTACAATGGGTTTGATGGAGTTGAGAGTTCAGACTTCGGATTTGAGCTTAATTAGGTATATTGTGGATAAGTTGCACACGCCATTCGTTAAGAATTGCGGCTCAAGATTCTGGGAAAACAGACCCTTTAATAATGACTTTTCAGTACAATAGAACACATACGATTAATGGTACGAGTAGAATATTGTCTAATAATGTGTCATTTTTCTATCGCGGTCCCTATACTCTTTACATCGATTTGTATTTTGTATATAAAAAAAGGGGTAAAACCAAATGACATATTATCAGACATTATTCTACTATTTAAATTGTATGTGTTGTGTTATCAGATCATCAGATAATCTGACCAGTGGTTTCCACCGCATGGAACCTGCATACATGAACAGGAGCGTACAGCAAAGGAGGGGCATATGCCAGGGCATTTAATCCAGGCTCCTGCCCACAGTAGTTAGCTCCCTAGTCATCTGAATACAACTCCTCTGGCACCCTAGCTTTCCCTATTCTTAGTAACATGTTGTGATGAAAAGTCAATGTTTTTTGTATTAGGTGGGGTGGAGGGGTAAAAAGTGGTAACGTTGGGTGGGGCGGCCTTGTGCGCATATCAGCGTGTTCTTTCTCACCCTTGCAGGCGGGGAAGCGGGGATAATAACAATGGCAACTTCTTATTTACTTCTTGTACTTGGGTAGGGTACGGAGGACTCGGTATCAATGATCATGCCTTATGAATGGCATCCTTGGGATCTCCGTCAAAATTCTTTCCTTGGCCTCGTCTGGAGTCCGAGTCCGGAGTGAAAGCCATGATCTCCCATTAATTTATCTTATCAGATCGCCCAGCAGATCTTCAACTTCTTCTCTACTGGTAGTAACTCGAGTGCAAGCTTATATTAGGCCTCTCGTGACCCCGGAGCTTACCTATCCGTGAATGTTCGACCTTCTCAAATGCGTCCTTCGACGCGTGTTGGGGCGCACCAGTAACAATGTAGCTTTCCATCCATCTCTTCCTTCCTCCAATTGACAATTTGACACTCCTAACCACTTCCAGGACCCAACAATGGCGCCTCACACACAGGACGAAGTCCAAACTCGCTCCCTCGCCGATCCTTCGGCATTCTGGGCCGAACAAGCTTCGCACCTCCACTGGCACAAGAAACCTTCCCACGCCCTCACCAAAACGAAGAAGTCTCTCAAATCTGGAGTTGAGCATGATCATTGGGATTGGTTCTCCGACGGCGAGATATCTACTTGCTACAATTGTGTGGATCGACATGTTCTTGCTGGAAATGGGGACCAAATCGCGATTATCTTCGATAGTCCGGTGACGAAAACGAAGGAGAAATATACATATAAGCAGCTTTTAGATGAGGTTGAATTGTTTGCTGGGATTTTGAGGGAGGAGGGTGTAAAGCGGGGCGACGTCGTGCTAATGTATAGTGAGTGGAATTTGTTTCTTCCGTCGCACTTTTTACTGCGCAAACTGTCTGTGGGAGTGGTTATTAGCAGCGTTTGGAAATGTTTGCAATTCCAGCCTGTTTTTCTCTGAAAGAATGAGCTCAGTCTATCCCGGGCGCTCGAGTTAACATCACCATTCATCCTGAAGATCTGGAGGAATTGCTTCAAGAATGGCGAAAATTACAATCACGGAACTACCCGGCTCGGAGCAGGGATTCAGGGAACTGTATTTTCTGCGTACTCCTGCAATTGCTAACAAATATTCTCCCAGTGCCCATGATTCCAGCAGCTCTCATCGGATTACTAGCAGTGTCACGTCTTGGTGCCATCCACGCGGTTGTTTTTGGTGGGTTCGCTGCAACTTCGTTAGCCCAGCGTATCGAAGCTTCCATACCTGTCGCTATTCTCACGGCATCATGTGGAATAGAAGGCAACAAACCCCCCATGTCATACAAGCCCTTCATCACCGAGGCAATCGAAAAGTCCCCTCACAAACCGAGTAAAACAATCATATGGCAAAGGGACCAGCTACGCTGGGACAACCTAGACAAACTCGGCGGGGAGAGAAATTGGAATCGACTGGTTCATAGTGGTCGTGCAAGGGGCCTGAAAGCTGATTGTGTGCCTATCAAATCCAATGAAGCTATTTACATCATTTATACTTCAGGTACTACCGGACTTCCTAAGGGCGTTTTACGAGAAGCGGGAGGTCATGCTGCGGGCCTGAAGTTGTCTATCAATTATTTGTTTGGCATCCATGGGCCTGGAGACGTAATTTTCTGTGCTTCGGATATTGGATGGGTTGTTGGTCATTCTTACATTGTCTATGCGCCCTTGTTGGCTGGGGCGGCAACTGTGTTATTCGAGGGTAAACCAGTCGGCACACCCAATGCAGGTACTTTCTGGCGTATCGTCGAAGAATATCAAGTCAATATACTATCTACAGCACCAACAGCGTTAAGGGCCATTCGAAGAGACGATCCAGAGAACAAATTGTTCAAAGAGATTGGCGAAAGAGGTGGCTTGAAATCATTGAGGGCTTTATTTCTTGCAGGAGAAAGATCGGAACCAAGTCTTGTTACTATGTACAGTGACCTTCTTCGGAGTTATGCTGGGAATGGAGCAAAGGTTGTTGATTGCTGGTGGTCATCAGAATCAGGCTCTCCCATTTCTGGAATTGCCCTGGTACCTAACGCTGGAAAAGATTTGAAGACAAATGAACGGACTGTGGAGCCTTTGGCTATCAAGCCTGGTAGTGCTGGTAAACCTATGCCTGGTTTCGACGTTCGAATCGTAGATGATTCCGGCAAAGAGTTGAAAAATGGAAAGATGGGAAATATTGTCCTCGGGTTGCCACTGGCTCCCACGGGCTTCAGAACACTCTGGGAAGATGAAGATAGATTCTACAAGGGATATCTGAGAAGATTCGGAGGAAAGTGGGTTGATACGGGTGATGCTGGAATGATTGATTCGGAAGGCTATATTCATGTTATGTCTCGGTCAGATGATATTATCAACGTCGCAGCTCATCGATTCAGCACCGGTAAGTGGGCAACTTTGTACATTTGAATTTTTACTAATCCGATTCTAGGGTCTATCGAACAAGCCATTTCATCTCATCCATTGATCGCAGAATGCTGTGTCGTGGGCATTCCAGATGCACTGAAAGGCCATCTTCCATTCGCATTCGTAACTCTCTCCACTCCCGACCATCCATCCTCGGCCATCCCCACCGACAAATTCTTTGGTGAAGTCCAAAAACTTGTTCGCTCGCAAATCGGACCCATCGCATCACTAGGTGGTATGACACAAGGCAAAGGGATGATTCCTAAAACTCGTTCTGGCAAAACTCTACGAAGAGTGTTACGGGAACTCGTGGAGAATGGGGTCCATGGGGAATTTGATAAAAAAGTTCAAGTTCCGGCTACGGTCGAGGATGCTAGTGTTGTAGAGGTTGCGAGAAAGAAGATTGAAGAGTATTTCAAAGTTAGGGGGGGAGTTCATCGGGCTACGGAAGAGAGAGCGAAGATTTAGAATACCCCAGAGGAGGAATGTGAAAATTGTGGACATTCATGGGTGGTTGATGGGGACAAATTACAGGTGTCCTTGAATTAGTTGGGCTGGAACAGGTTTGGGTGGCTGGACTTTGGCTTGTTAATTATCTTTAGGTAAATAATGATGAGCAATGCGGCGTAACGTACTTCATAAGGAGTCCGGATTTATAAGCAGTCCGGATTTTTTACCCCACCATCCAACTTTTAAAAACCATAGAACTTTAACCACTTAATATTTATTTATATAAACTATACTATCTTTCTTATTCTCGATCTGGGCACCTAGGAGCAGTATGCGCTAGTGATCTACATATACTACAGGTTCGTGGTGTACGAATTCGTGGTTCAATTAGCGGGGCCACAGCTTCATCCAAAACCATATTATCACTATTTTGAATAAGTTCCCTCCCTTCCTGACCTGTAAGAACACCCCCAGTAGCAATATATTGACGTCGCACAGTCTTCTTCTTCTTTTGACGTTCAGATTCAGCTCGTAAACGTCGATTTTCCTCTGCCAAAACCGTAGCTGATTGCATAGCCATCTTACACCCTTTAACCAATTGATCTAATGCAATAGCAGTAGGGCTTGAGAGAACGTTTGTACGTCGTTTAATAGATGCTTTAATTGTCTGGGTTTGCTGATCTGCCTCATATGTATTATGGGGTGTCTCAGGGACCCAAGGTAGTAGGTTTGGAGAAAGTAAAGGAGGAGTAGGCGTATGTAATTGAGTATGTAATTTACTCAATACTTGATCTGGGTTGTACGGGACAAGGCCAGTAGTTGCGAATCCATTACAGATTGTGTTTTTGACCATAGTACTTGTACGGGCTACACGATATATTGAAAGGAAGTCTGGTTTATCGATATGATATGTGCCGGCTCGTACTAGCTCCTCGACTCCTCGTCCATAAAGTCGCTTTAAAACTGCAAAGCAACTAACATCTAATGGCTGTAAAAGATGAGATGAGTGCGGTGGCATACAAAGCGTTATGATGTTATGTTCTGAACAGAAAAGATCGAATTCGGGAGTAGAATGACTATCATGGCCATCGAGGATTAAAAGTCGATATACTCCTTTTACACGGTCCTTGGTATATTTCTCAAATACGTCTGAAAGCCACTTAAGACCTAAGGAATCATTGGTCCACCCTTTATCACTAAGTGCAATTGTCCAATCTGCTGGTAATTGATCTGTATACCAAGTCGATATATGCACCTTGCCCTCAAATATAACCATTGGAGGCAACACCCATCCATCTGCACAAATTGATTCGACAACTGTAACCCATTCGCGATTCCCTGGTTGTATATGAATAGCCCGTCCTGTATATTCTGACCCTATAATAACTTTTGCGGTCGCAATTACTCCCATCTGAAAGCCAGTCTCGTCGAAATTGTATATATCCTCCGCTAGTATACCATATTTCGCAACAATATTATGTACTAATCGAAACCAATCTCGGATAATCGTAGGATCCTCGCATTTTGCGCGCTTATAGTCGTATTTACGAGTGTATTTCGTCCGTAAAGAGTCGTGGCGCTTTATAAAGTTGTCAACCCAGCATTTTCCGACAATAATTCGACCTACTCCAGTTCGCTTTTCCAGTAGTAAATCGGCCATTTGGCGTATCGAATCTTTCCGTACTGGCAGACCTCTAGCTTCCATTGATAACATCCATTGTATAAGTGCTGATTCCTCGAGGTCGGTGAGTTTCTGGTTTCGGGGTCGGAAATCGCGTTGTGGAATAGCTCCCTTGACGCGGTCGTAAGTAGTAGAATATGGCGCATCGTACCTTGTACAAGCTGCTTTTAAGCTTGTAAATTGACCCTTATTGTATGCACTGATTGCAAGAGCAATTTGACCTTCTTTTCGAGACATTTGAACAATAATTGGGTAAGTTATGTAGATTTAAAGTGTGTAGGGAGGTCAATGGTGGGGTAAAAAATCCGGACTGCTTATAAATCCGGACTCCTTATGAAGTACGTTAGGTAGCAATCGCCGGTACAGCATCTACGACACGTCACGTTTTTTTTAGATTTCTATCTTCCATTTACCCTTTCGAATTCGTCGCAAACATCCAGACCGTTGGAACAAATACTCGCCGTACGATTATCCCCAACACATCTTCGTCATTGTTCTGAAACATCCGATGCAATCATGGGAAAAAGGGCTGAAATCCCTTCCACGCGACGAGCATGAGGTCAAGCCCGTAAGGCGGTGCAAGACGACTCCGCCCCGCGGCCACAGTAATTTTTTCGCAATCCTAATTTCCACAACACCATCATCATCACAGCACGAAAATCGAAATCTGCCTTCGCTTGCGCAAACTTGTACACCCTCTCATGACCTGAAAGCAAAGAAACGTGTTTCCGACTCTCAGTCGCCATGCTGATGCTGCGCAGATGCACCCCGCGATACGGATGCTTTGCATTGCACCTGAGATGTATGGTAATGTAATACAAGCTTGATTTCTACCGAGTCCTTTGACGGGCTGGTAATGACGCATGCGAATGTTTGTATTCTATTCTCTTTTATGCTCTCGTGTTTTTTCCTTGGGTTTTTGCGCTGCGTTACCGAGTTACCTTTAGACAGATGTTTTACATACCTACACACACAGAGGGGAATTACAAATTGCTAGTGCAGCTTTCCAATTCCCGTAATCTTTCTCTTTGAGTCACGGGTTTCTGTACGTACAACAGATTTGTTACCGACACATGAATGGGTTAAGTCCGCAGCCCCCAACTTCTCTGTCAGGGGTAAGATTGTACCACAGAAATCTCACCGAAGCTTTGCATCCTTGTTCCCGACGATAGCAGCGAGTGGAGCCTCAAGTACATCTCACACCGGATGTGGCTGAAGCTACACAGAGGCATTCGCAAGCAAAAGTTCTCATTGAGCTTCGTCATGATGCGTGTTTGTGAATGGGTACATAAGGAGACCCTTCCTTTCCATTCATTCATTGTATTTCTTGCTCGTTTACTTGCATACACTCATTCATACAAAGACTGAGTGTCCATCCATCCATTCATCTCAAACAAAGTCTCACAAGCAACAAATAAACATAAAAACATCACATATCCATATCAAAACCACTTTATATTCAACCATCAAACTGTCTACCTACTACTACACAAGCTACATGCCCACCACCACCACAACCCCCAAAATGTCTCCCACCGCACTAAAACAACAAATCACCCACCTCATCTCAGAACTCTCCACCTGCTACGAGCTCTGCGCTACCATCCCATCAACCCGCAAGCTGGGCAGTACACACACCTCCTTCGACGGGCTCTACACCAGTCTCCCTCTCACCATCCAAACCATCAGCGCCAAATCCGCGACGCTACGAAAAGTCATCGGCTCACGCATGGATCTCGGCGATGAGACGAGCAGGAATATCCTCACGCGCGCCATCAAAGACGTACAAACGGATATCCAGCCCCGACTATGGAATATTGCTCATCCGCCGCCGCGCGATCGGAGGAGTGGCGAGCAGCAAGTCCCCGGCTTCAAGGATATCCTGAGGCAGGTCACGGCGATGGAGTTCGATGTATGTGATGCGCTTGAATCTCTTTCGTTGCGTTTACAAGCTTCGAAACCTACTCCTGCGCCTACTTCTACTTCTGCTCCGTATAAAGCCAACACTTCTCAACCAGTGAATGAAACGCATCCTCAGACACCGAGGACGAGGAAGCCGAGGGAAGGCGATGAAGTACTTGTTAATATCAAAGAACTTACTCAGTTATTGGAGCACTTGAAAGCGTCTTGGGTCGAGTACTCGAGTGAAGGTCGGAAATACTATGTTAATGCCTTTGATAAGACGACGACGTGGGAGAGGCCTGAGGGAGGCTTTGTGCAGAGTATGCCGAGGGAGAGGGAGACGAGGAGGTGGACGGTGAGGGAGGAGCGGCCGAGGCGGGATGAGAGGGAGAGGGAGACGAGGAGGTCGACGGTGAGGGAGGAGCGGCCGAGGTGGGATGAGAGGGAGAGAGAGAGGATTTGGGAGGATGGGAGGGGTTGGTAGAGACTTGTTGAGCTGCTGGTGAGGTGGTGATGAATTGTATGATTGAATGGATTTTAATTTTGCGGGGGGTTTTGGGAGGTGTTTTTGGGTAGGTATAATATTTTTGGGACGGAACGAATCGATATTTGGATTTGGGATTTGGATTTGAGGACTTACTTTAGACGTCGGCGTACGTTCTTTACTCTTAGCCTTTGTAACTTGTATACGTTTAGATGTCTTACACTCCTCTTGATTTGATAGTTCCTCTACCTATTCTGTTCATGAAGATTATACCAGGCCACTCTATCGCGCCTCTACTCCTCGCAACCTCACCGTTACAAATACCCAAGTATTTCCCTTCTCCCTTCTCCCTTCTCCCTCCTCCTCTATCCTTTATCCTCCCACTACCCCTCCGACTCCCTACCAAATCCCATAAGAATACAATTCCCATACACCTCCCAACTCCCCATCCCCTCAAGCCTCCCACCCCATCTCACCCTCACATTCACTCCTCCCCCCTCCACCTCGCCCCACAAAAACCCCCAAGCGAACCAATCAAAATCCAGAGTTCCTGCGTCTCCCACCCCCTCCACCACAAATCCCCAAATAACCATCTTCCCTCCAATAAACAAAGAAAAGAAAAACCCTCGGTGGTCGAGTGGTCCCAGCTCCAGCCCCCTTTCCTTCCTTGAATCCTCCGCTAACGTCCCAAACAAAAGATAAAAACTTTGCAAGGTACCACCGCACACAAACGTCCACACTCTCTACAGATCAGACAATCTATCCCTTCCTAACTAACGAGTTGCATCTAGTCCCGTCCCGTAGGCCGCCCATGTCAGAACCAAGTTACGCACAAGGAATGACAGCTGGCCACTGTAATGGATATACCGCGCTCATCGCCTGGCGATATAGCCTCTGTTTGTGGATTCATGTGGGTGTGTTGGACTTTGTAACGCGGTACAGTGAGTATGATCCTGATGCTTCCTACTAATGACCGCTTGACCACCACTTCTTTTTTTTTCTGGCTGGTTAGAGGGAGTAGTAGATCGGTATATATTTTTTTTAATTGTCTGGTGGTATATTTCAAATAGGAAGAACGAAAAGCTTGGTATATTTCATGTACATACAATTTCGAAACCCAGATATCGCGCTGTCTTCAAGAGCCAACATAACCTAGCCTAAAACCGACTCTCAACTTTCTTCCCCGTATCCTGTAACGCCCACTGACTACTCTTCGTCTTACTCCTCACACTCTGCGCCTGCTTCTCTGTGAATCCCTTTGCCTCAACCGCAGGATTATACCTAAGTCCATTTCGTCTGCCAACCTCTACACTACTGACCTCACTCACAACACCGCGATCGGGACGCGTATAAACCGTACATACCACCGCACCACCAAGTCCAAGATTGTGTTGTAGCGCAACCTTCGTATCGGGTACCAATCGATTATTCGCCCATCCGCGCATATGCCAGACCAGCTCGGCACACTGCGCGATACCTGATGCTCCAAGTGGGTGTCCTTTGGAGATGAGACCACCTGAGGGATTGATGACCATTTTCCCGCCGTAGGTGATATCGCCATTGCGGATGAGTTCATGAGCTTTACCTGGGGGCGAGAGACCGAGGGCATCGATGGTGATCATCTCGTTCGCAGAGAAACAATCGTGGAGTTCACAAACCTTGACATCTTCCGTGGTAACACCCGCCTCTTTCAATGCGGTGGCAGCAGCGTACTTGGTCATTTCGAAACCCATCAAGTCAATGGCGGATTTGGAGAACAGACTGGGCGCATCAGTCGCCATGCATTGGCCTGCGATGAGGATAGCTTGGTCTTTGAGATGTGGACGGGCATCGAGGAAGTCTTGCGACACCAAGACGGCGGCGGCGCCTCCGTCGGAGGTGGGACAGCATTGGAGTTTTGTGAGGGGCTCGTGTATCATTGGGGATTTCATGACTTGCTCGAGAGTATAGACGTCTTGGAATTGGGAGTAGGGGTTTCGTTGAGAGTGTTCGTGGTTTATGCGAGCGATTTCTGCGAAGTCTTCTGGTTTGGCGCCGTATCTATACACTATTAGTTTTGTATCTAGTGAGAGGAAAAGGGAACAAACTTCTCCATGTACTCTCTTCCAGCATTCCCAAACATCTGCGCAGCACCAGGCGCATTCGTAACACCCCTAGTCTCCGCCATCATCTGTCCGGTCAAGCCTGTAGGATTACTCCTATCATTCCAAAAGCTCTGCAAGCTCCCAGGCATCATCTTCTCGAATCCTACAACCAACATACAATCCGCAGCTCCATGGCTGATAATATTCCTCGCCATCGCCAATCCAGTCGAGCCAGTCGAGCAGTTGTTGTTCACATTGTAAATTGGAATCTGGGTCATGCCGAATTGGTAGAAGACTCGTTGACCACAGGTCGAATCGCCATAGCAGTAACAAGCTACTCCTTGATCAACATCGTCGTAATTGATCTGTGCGTCGAGCATAGCTTTTACACCGGCTTCGTATCCGAGCTCTGTATAGTCAACCTTTCCTCTGGGCTTGATGAATTTGGTCATGCCAACGCCTAGGACGTAACATGGTTCGTTGCGCTTGATGACCATTTTTGCGGTTGTGCTGATGGAACTTGAGGTCTGAGTGGAGTACACAAGGCTGATTGATTTGTTGATGGTCTCAGAAGGTGAGATGAAGGTCAATTGTCAATTTCTCAATCGTTGTCGTTCAGAAGGAGGGAAAGTACAGATAAATACATTGTCTCAGGACGTCAACGGTCGTTCACTTCCCCAGACTGCGGCACGGCGGCTGGAAATGCGGGGAGATACCGAGGCATCCAGCGGCAATCCCTGCTTACCAAGCCAATCGCAAGGGCGAGCTTCCCCTTTTTTTGCGAGGGGGCGATTTACTTGTGACTGCCCAGCAGGAATTCTCAAAAGTGAAGAATTCGTCATTGAAATTCTGATTGGAAGTTTAAAAGAGAGGAGTTGACGTTCAGTATTCGACAAGAAACTCAATCGACCACTAACTTTGTTTGTATGGGTCCTTGGAGAACCTACCCAAGCTGTTGCAACATGGAAAACAATACCCGAAGACCAGCCCTGACGATTATCCATTGAAAATACGGAGTAACCTTCACACCCAATAATAGCAAAAGTGAACTGCCTACTCGATTTCTTCCCTTCCAATTCGGAATGCCGTCGTCTTGTGAACCTGTCCCCACAAAATCCATCCTAAGCCATCCATCCATCCTTACCAACACCCATACAATCCCCCTCCTTTGCCTTGAAACAACAAAAGATCGCGAAGCGCTCCAGAGATCAGTATCCCCCTTCAGTAAATACCCCTAGTACTGTATTCAATCCCGTGATTACGAAATTCTCATCTACCATCACCTTACCGTCCAGATCTCCTCACCTACTCTACCGAAATCCCTATACCACAACGAATAAAGTTAAAAGTAACAAGAAGAATTGAAGAAATGGTAAAGAAGGTAGACAGCATACGTAATCGTACCCTGCCCTACGAGTTAACAAGAAATCTTATACCATTCAACCGAAACCAGCCACGCAGAGCCTAGGACGTAGGAGTGATAGACTTTTCTCAGCATTCTTGTATGCGCCGGAACGTGGAAAATAGAAAAACAACCTTTTCTTTCATTTGGGCGGGGTATCATGGGAGAATATATATCGAGCACTGTGTGCTCTGGCTATTTTTTCATATGAGCACATGCAACGAGGGTCCTGAGGTGGGATGGCCTCGCTGTACCAACGCGGTACAGAACTACGAAGAGTAGGTCTCTTTCCAGAAAGGGACACACAAGCCTGCTACAAGTTCCTGACTAGGATGGGGGAAATTTTCGGAAACCAGTTCTACCCCATCGAGGGTAGTCCTTTACTTTCATCGAAAACTGGCTCGGCTTCTCGTAGTGATCCGCCCTTCCTCATGAATCGAAGCGACACCTCTCGATATCTACCTCCAGCCAACTCTCGACCTCTTCATTGAGCCTGCTCGAGACCTTCTCTTCATCTGCCAACCAACATGCCTGTGCAAAAGTGTCACGTATACTCGCATTTACAAGTTGCAACATACAAAACGGCCTCAACCCACAAGAAGCGAAAGAGCCATCCTCACACGCATTCATATGTGCAACGCTCAGCAAATGCTCACTCCGACCTTCAGCACAACGGTCAGAATGAGCAACAACGTCTTGTGCGTCGGGGACCTTGCCAATTCGAAAATATCGGCCTTCCACCACAAACCACATTGTCTTTTGGCTCGAGCACAATACGCTCAGAGAGCCCCGTCTGCCCCCCTTTTGTGAGCGGGAATATCAGCCAAAGCCACCGAAGCCTGGGAAAATTCTGTCACGTGAAAAGCATGTGATCAGAAGACAGCTCCAGTTTTCCAGCGCTATTGATGGAATACCTCTTCGGGAGGAGCTTTTACTATTCCTTCAAATCATTTCTTTTTATTTTGCTTTTTTTCTCTTATGTTTTGTCTGTATCAACATCGTTCATTTGCTTTTTTTTTGCTTTTTCTTCTTTGTCGGCCGCAGTTATGAGCTCGGCCGAGCACATATTCATCAAGTCAACCAGAAACTTCCACTTCAAGTTTCAAGGAGATATTGTTCTTATTATTATAAGACAAAATATCAGCTTCAGCCCCGATTATATGTCGATCCTATAGAGTGGAGATACTAAGAATGCCACATCCTCCGGTGGCGTCATCAGGTCCCAAGAGGCCCTGTGGAGGAAAGGGGAAAGGTCGCGCAGTGGTAATTCATCAAGATGTCGACACGGACAAGGAGAATAGAGAGATGGAGGTTGATGAGTACGGGTGTGTTATTGACTCTCCTCCACATGAAACAAGCGAACATTCCAACGTCATTACCACATTTATGGACCTTGACGATATATTATCGGTGGATCCTCGAACGTCAGCAAAAACCCCACCGGAAAGATTCTGATCCTGGTGAATGGAGTTTCGCACTGCTGGCGGAGCTTCATACCACCGATACTCCACTTCCTCACTGGAGAATATATTGTGAACGCCATCATACAAAATGCTAGGGAGATTACACGAGACCACCTCGGTCGTTGGACAGCATTCTACTGCTCCGGTCCATTGGACACGCTTAGTATATAAGCGTGTTTCTTCTGGACTTCTCCCTTCTGTAGTTCAATCAGAAGTCCCGTGGACAGGATTCGACGGAACTTGGTTGGAGCTAGCATCTAAGCAAGCACTCCTTGTGGCAGTCGGACGGGATGGTAATAACAAGACAATCCCTCACCACTAGACGACTTGCCACTTGAAACGTCGCCGTATTGGTTCGACGACGACGTTTATAACCAGTCGCAAAGAGAGAACGGAGATTTGGTTTTGGATATGGTATAGTTTGGTGCTACAACAAACCGTCAGCAAAAACATCTACACAAATCACATGAGACGGTCATGAACTGAGCAAAGATTACACCTGATTCTGAGTTAATTAAGATACCAGATTAACTCGTCCTGCCAAGACCAATCTGCCGAATTGTTGCGATCCATCATACCTCCCCCTTATCCTGTCGGGTACTAAGAATCGTCACGTGTAACTTGTTCCACCATCCGCGTCGACGTCCCAAGAAATCAAGATATATAAATCTGCCTTGTTGTTTCTGGGTCACCAAGGTGTGTGTCGTCCGAAAGAATGCCGGGAGAAGCCAGTTCCGTATTCGCCTGTCTTCCAGTCCGGTGGGAGGGTTGGACTATGCAAAATCTGATGCGAAATACATAAGAGGAGTAAGATCTAACAGACCAGAAATATATATAATTTGGTCGAATCTATGGAAGACCGAATCTAAGCGGTCGTCCGTGGGAAGGGTGGGCATACCCGCTATTAGGGGGTCTCTCGTTGTGGCTTCAAATGACGACCTCTTAATAGCGGCTCGGGTCAGTCAACCTAGTACAAATTTCCGTCACTGGAAAGAGGAATGGAATCGTGTTGTGTTCTCGGACGAGGCCTCCATGCAAAACGGTGACTTGGTGTTTTCTATGGCATAGAAGTGTGGGGACCGAAAATCAATACTTGGAATTTTGGGAACTATCCCGATGGACCAGGAAAGGTATGCTCGAAGTATCGTCGCAGAATACCTGTACGAAGACGCACTTGTTTTCGCTACGCCGCTGGAAAGATCGACTGTGAATGAGCTGAAAAGGGAGCCAGGCTAGGGGTTGACCGCAGGGGAGAAAGAGAAGTACGCTCAACTCCTGGGAAACCTTATATGGCTCCTGAATACTCGCACGGATGTCGTATTTGCGGTGACTCGAATGGCGTCCTTTACGAGCGAAGCAGGATGGAACCACTGGAAAGCTCTCCTCTGCATTCTTGGCTACATCAAAGGCACCTTGTCTCATGGAACTGTGTACAACAATATGCGCAAAAGGCATGAAACTGGGATACCAATCTACAGCCTGGACCGCGGCGTAGACGTTTATGCAGGCAACGCAAGTCTGTTCAGCGAGTATTCTGATGTGGATTATGGCGATGATCAACGTGACCGGAAATCAATTCTTGGGACTTTACTAATGTTTAATGGTGGAGTTAATTAATGCTTGAGCAAGAAGATGGGATCAGTTGCGCGATCAACAACAGAAGCCGAATATACTGGTGCGAGCGAATCTACTAAGACGGTTACTTGGTTGCGTGTGCTTTATATGCTGGCTCGCCTAGCTAGCTGAGCGTCTTGCTAGACGGTGAGCACAACCTGCCAGATTGCGTGTAACACTAAGCAATGCGAAATAATCATCTGTTTCTATGTTCTCTCGCATCCGGAGCATTGTATGCATTTGGTCCTGTGTCAAATGGTGATGTGGAGTTGGTGTTACAATGGAAGTTGCTCGTGAGTTTCCAGATGAGCTTTCAGATGAGCCACCATGTGAGCCACCATGTGAGCCACAAGATGGGCTTCCACGTTGACTTCCAAACACATCATCAAAAGGAATTGAAAGAACCTTCTTTGAGGCCGACGCACAAGACTGGTCTCAATCCGCCAAAAATTGTGTCTTTTCGTAGTGGCCTCTCGGCCACGATTAAGGACCGCCTCAAGCACCAACTGGACCTCCCTGCCGACTTTCCCTCATATCTAACCCCTGGGAACAATTCAACACCATGGTAGAGAGATACGAAGGTGTCACGAACTGGGTATTAAGGGTGGCCGCGTCCCTTGGGGAAAAGACAATTTTCAACAATCTCAAAGACGTGGCATTGAGCGATCTCACGAAAGCTTTCATCGCCCAGGGGTGGATGTCAAAAGACGGTAAAGGTATCCGAAGATTGCCTCAAAGCCAAGGGGTGGCATCGTACGCAAGGCGGGGGAGGAGTTTCTAGACGAATGTCTAATGCCCAAGTTCGCTAAGCTAAAAGGCACTATTGTGAGGGTACAGACGTGGAGGAAGCGATGTGGCCCGTGCCCTTGGAACTGTAAATAGCCTCAGATCTTACGATCACTTCCACTCTTTGTAGACAATTTGGTTCTTACGCATACAGTTGACCTTGTCGCTATCGCACCCTTACAACTATGGTGTGGGGTGCTATTGCATCTGGCCTGGAATCAGAGCTCCTAGTACACGACAAGGCGAAAATGGGTAATGCGAAGGGTAAAATCAACGCAGTATCTTATTGTGCATATATTCTGCCGGTTTTCAGAGACTTTTGCCTCTCGGTGATGGAACAGGAGACTGAAGAGGACGAGATTTATCCCGTCTATTGTTAACATGATAACGCTCCTATTCACACGGCAAAAGTGGTTAAGGAGTGGTTTAAGGAACACGAAATGACGCTCCTTGATTATCCCCGGACCTAAACCTAATAGAGCATATGTAGAGCTTCTTAAAGAACCGGGTTCGAAGGAGACTAAGGAATGAGGGTTGGAATAGAGACAACCTGATCTGCATCTCTCTCGAGGAGTAGGACTCGATCGATCAAGAGGAGATTAACGACCTTATTCTGATAATGCTAGACTGAATGTAGGTAGTTATTGCCACTGAGGGGGGGTATACCCGCTATTAGGTAGGGGGGAGGGTATTTATTTTTGTGCTTAGTCATCGACGGCTACTATTCCAACTGAACCCACTCCTTTTGCAAGCTAATAAAACGCGTAGATGAACTGATTACGAAGTGAAAGTTGCCCTACTGTAGGAACAGTATAAACGCTAATAAAAAGGCCCCTCATATCCCCTCAAGGTCGTATATGTACATTTGGAGGTGGGGAGCTTTTTTACCCACTTTAAGGATTAATCTCCGTAAACAAGCGTTTTTAAAAGTATAATCGTATCAAAAAGTCTAAATTGAAGCTATTATAAAGAACGTCTAAAAATGAGAACATACTATACTAATCAGAATCCCTATTATTACTTAAGTCTAATGTCACGAATCACGTGTCCACGTGATACATGTCATAATAGGAGGCGCAACCCTCGACAGTGCACACCCAGGTTTCTTATAGTAGGGATGGCTTAGAGTAGCTAAGCGATCCAAGGATTTCCATTGGTTACTGTCACGTGATGGATCCCGAAGGGATCCAAGGGATTCAGGAGAGGACGAAGGTTCTATATAAGACTGGCACGTCTGCCATTAGATAGGAGCTTCGTGCTCAACTTAGTTATCAATCTTATCATATTAGTTTGACATCTTTGATACATGTAACGAGTTCGCTTCCAAGTGAACAACCCGATAGTTCTTCTTCTTATCCTAGCATACCAACCAGCGAACAACAGTCGAGCTTCAGTTAGCCGGATCAGTTATCGTTACATCTATCTCTTTATCCACTTTATTAGAATCCCCTTCCTAACACCTAGTTACAATAGTATCACCGGAATAACTATAATAGCTATCAAAACAACACTCGCACAGGGGTGAAAAATGCACACTCTCGTAGGGGTGGTGGTAATAATAGAAAAAAAGACATTGTTTCTAATAAGTTAATCGAAGCGAGTTCTTAACAAAGATAATTCTAATAATTAATCTATAGATTCTAACGATTACTCCTACGACTTTATGTACCTTTTCGACTATTTTAGGGGTTTATTTTAAGATATTTATATAAAGAAAGAGCGATTTATATTTTATATATAATAATACTATTCTTACGTCGTATATCGATAGGATCTACAATAGTTGTAAATCAATTGTATTTCTTGTCCTAAACCGAGTTGTTGGGTAAATTTATATAGACGTTGAAACAACCGTAAGACCTAAGACTCTTTAAATCGTTAAGTGGATACAGAGTAGATATCGTAGAGTACCTACCTCCAAATGTACATATGCGACCTTGAGGGGATAGTGGGTTCTACTTCAAAGTCATATGATCTGCGTGACATGGTGTGACTCTTAGCTGTCCACCCCTTCATGTTAGAGCGATCCTAGACCCTTCTTTGATGGAGGATTTAGCCGATAATCTACAATGGAGCATGTGTATGTACTGTACTCCACGATACTCGATCACGGAAAACACCCACTTTGAGAGAGCACGCTTTTGGACAATTGCGGCGCGGTCCATTTAGAAAACTCCAAATCTCTCTTAGTCCCTGGAACTTTCGTCAAAGCAACACCACAAGATATAGTAGAGGCCGGTACATCCTGCGTAGCTATCTCGAGTTTTGGCAAACGGATTATCCACAACATCATGGATGGACCATATGCAGCAGAGTCTCGAGATCCGACACTTCGCCACAGAACTAAACCGAGTGACAGATTCTGGCAGTTTGCGGCGATGAGAGCTGTTTATATGCGGAACCGTCAGATCGGCAACGAAATGTCACTATTACCATGGGAGCAGTCGAGTGGTATCTTACAAAACCGAGTATGGCGAGTTGGAGGGTATTTGGATGCTGATTCTAAAGGAAAAGCGGCCGGAATGGGAACCAAGAGCATGGGAGGGAGTATTATTATTATTATTATTATTCCTTTTAACGTGCTGTGTGAGTCTGAGACTATAGTAGCACGGCTGGGGGTTTCCCTCCAACAGATGAGTAAAGCTGTACTAAATACATGTTTGAGAAGGGGGTTATGGTCATTACAGTTCTTGGGTTGTTGGAAGCAGCTAGGCTTCTGGTTATGACAAAAGAAAAGTTGTTATGTTGTAGTACGCCCCCTCGTTTCACGCCCTGTACGCTACACTTCCTCGTTCTCGTCTTCCTCGTCCTCGTCTTCCTCGTCCTCATCTTCGTTCTCATCCTCAGTTGCGCGTTGTGTGTGCCATATTCTAGTGGCGATTTTGGTGGTTCGAATAAAGTCAAGTGTGGCCTCGACTCCTTTGGCGGTGTGAAGGAGGGATTTCATGGTGAACTCTCGAATATGATGCTTGAGGAGGTTGCGCTTTAGTACTTTCCTAGCATCCCCAGTTTCTGGACAG